GCTGAGCTTGCCCGCTCCCGGTACGCCTGCCGTGTGCGTGTGCTGCGTCGTGCCTTCGGTGGGCATACAGGCTCTTCGGAGCAGAAACCATCATTTTGAAGTGTTTCCGTGCAGTTGCTGAAGGGAAACTCGGCTTTTTTAACTCGCCCAAAACCAGCGTGAGACAGCCAGTGTAGCTGGAGACAACACCTACTGTTTGGGTTGTGTCATGTATTTAGGTTATTAAATGGTCCGCGTGCCATGTTGTGCAGGTTATTGTACTAGTTAGACGGGCTTCTCTCATCTTAATATGTAAAACATGATCAATTCTTTAAGAAAATTATAAACCGTGTCCAACTACTAAGATCTGTCAGTCTGTAATAGGCTTACATGGGCTAGGCTTATTAATTCTTGCTTAAAGAGGATTGCATGGAAGGAGATACAAACTGCGTGTGTGTGTACGTTAATGTGCATGAAGTGTTCAAGGCCAGGTTGGACGGGGCTTTGAGCAGCCTGGTCTAGTGGACGGGGTCCCTGTCCATGGCAGGGGGGTTGGAACTGGATCAGCTTTAAGGTCCCTTTCAACCCAGACCGTTCTATGATTCAAATGTGGGTACAAGATTGTGAGAGAAAATAACCTTGAAGAAACTTGTGTTTGCCGAGCTGAGGGATGGAGGTGGCCAGAACATCTAGCCGAATGGCAGCTAGCTTTCTGCACCAAGCCAAGAAAGGGCTTTTCATTCAGAAAAATCACCTTACAAAAATGACACTTGGTTTCTGAATGTGTCCATGCCTTATGTGCTTGGGCATACAGACACCCCTCTACATGGAGCTGTGCAGAGTTGCCTTGGTCTCCGCTGTGGCTGTTCGTAGCCCTCATTTCTCCATGGCACTGAACCCCTGTGGCTGCTTTTTACCCTTAGTACACCTCAGATTAGTGAACTAAATTCTAGTTCTGGCAGAGAGAACCAACCTCACAGCCAGCCAGAAAGCAGTGGTACCATTTTAAAGTTATTCATGTGAGTTGGTGTGCATTAGAAAGGCTTTATAAGAGTGTTTCAGATGAGCAGGGAGAAGCCACAAATATCTCCTCAGCACCTAGGTGATAACCACAGTACCCACACCACTGCAAGATCTGCACCTGCTCTGGACAGAACTATCTTGAGAGTTGCAGCAAAGCTTTTTTTAAACCTCTATTAAGACTGTTATTTTATTTAGCAGGCTGTTTGTCCTACAACCTTTAAAAACATTGAGTCTAGCTGCAAGGAGTTCTGGGGCTACTGGTATAAACTGAGATGGTTCTGCGGAGTCAGCATGCAGTGACTTGACAGAGGAGTGACACAGAGGCATGGTGCTGATGGAAAGGAGACTAATTTGACCCTAAAGACTTACAGGAAGTTCAGATATTCAGATAAATTCTGAATGCTAAAAGCCAGTTTCTGACAAGGCAGGCAGTTCCTTGGATATCCTTCTACACTGGAGACCATAATGTTTTCCTTACATAAAACTATGCCCTAAGAGCCCTTTCAGTTTTCTCTGTAGCCTTGAAGTTTCTGTCTAACTGCATGGACTTGCATGAAAGTTGAAGAAAGTAAAGAAAACGCCATAAAAATTAAGTTCCTTTTAGATACTGTATTGTGGAATGTAAGGAAGGAGAACTGCCTTTGGTTTGGTGCAGTAAAAAACAGGCTCTTGGTCTACGCAGTGCAGCTACACTGGGCAATCAGTGTGGTCTGGACACCTTGGAAGATGTTTTCTGCTCCTGTAAACTTGCTGAAAGTATAGATTGAACTACAGACATAAATAAAGAAATCAAGAGTTATCACAGAGGTGCCAAGGCAGTTGCAAAGTGAAGGTATCTTCTAGGTCTGGTCTGTCTTTGTCATCAGTTGTAATTAATAAAATCACACCTTACACACTGTGACATGAAGACCTGGACAAGAAGTGTGGGCAGCTCTCTACATCTTACTCTCAGGGTGACAGAAGTACACTACAGAATCATCATGCAGCCTTGCACTTTGTTTCCATGTTCGTTTGATCCGTTTGACAGCAGGTGCTATACCTATCTGGAGCCTTTTGGCACAACCAAAACAGTGAAAAAGCAGTTGTGAGGGATCTGTCCTGCTCCTTCATGCAGTCATTCTATTTTGTGTCTTTCTGTTCAGCTTCCTTGTGTTTCTGAGGTACCAGATCTATTATGGTTACCCTCTGCAGACATACCTGGAATATCCCATCATCATTGCACAAGGTAATCTTTAAAGCCGTGTTTTGGAAATAAAACAGGGCTCATTCAGCACTTGAAGGCTCTGCATGTAGGTGCAGTACTCCAGTGCAGTGACGTTAATCTATTGACCAATTCTAGGTAGAGTTGGGGGGAAGAGGGAATGAATATCTCCAATGTAATAGAATTCTTACAAATAGATTATTGGATAGAAGAGAAAGATGTAATTAATACACGCGTGGAGTTGCAGTTTAAGTAAGTTCATCCTTTATCCAGTGACTTCATGTGGGAGAGAAACAGTATAAAACACTCCAGACTCTTAAGAAAAGCTTCATTTTAGAGCTTGCAGTGTTTTGGACATAATCAAATTTGAGAGACAAAAACCTGTAAGATACAAGTTTCCAAAGATGTGGTGCCCAGTGGTGCATTTGGACCCTTCTCTCCGTTCTGTGACAATCAATCTTTTATTTATTTCAGATGTCATTCTCCTTTTGTTTATTCTGCATTTCAATGGAAACAAGAAACGAGCTTTGTTCTATGCAGTCATGTATCCTTTGAAATCTGGAATTTTGGTGTATGTAGCTTGTTTGGTAGTTCTCTGCGTAACAGCAATGATATCATTTGTTTTGTGCTACTATTGTAAATAATTTTCAGCCACTCTTCCATATGCATTCCACATTCATGTGCTCATTTCTGGGATCACAGTGAAATCTCTACAAGACATAAGCTGTACATGCAGCTGTGCTTTAGAAGGACCACAACTGGTAAGGAGTAAGACCAATTCTTTGTTTCCATCTTTGCCAGAAATGCAGGGTGGAAATGATGAATCTTTTTTCTTTGATTCCTACCCACACAGATTGTACTTTCTATGATGAACACAGCAGTGTTTGGTTTTTTTTTTAAATCTCAAGTCTTGTGCTTTGGAGGAGGTCTGGAGAAGCTCCAGGCACTGTTGAACCAAAGACAGCATGAAAAATAGGAATACTTAGTGTTTCAAGCAGTGCTTAATGTTTTATGCAGATTGTGTAGTTGTACTAAGTTTCAGTAAGATTTTTTCCAGGTGCTTAAGAAAATCTAATTCCCCAGGCAGTTTTGCAATCCTAGAATTTTCAGTGCTATGAAACTTAACGTAATGTAAGATTTTGGGGGGGCTGGTATGTGCTAACACTGCGGAAGTGGATAATAGACCTGGCCTTGGTAAGTTCTGCATGATTATTTGAAATTAGGTCCTCAAATGAAATAAAGACTTTTTTTTTCTGGAAATCTTTATCAGTGAAATCTCTCATTATGTTTGTCCTTAGAAGAATTCATCATTTAGGTTAGCTTTCAGAACAACCAACCAGTTTTCAAATACAGCTGGTTCTCACTTCTGTGAGTAGCACTAGCAATAGAGATTTGGGTGGGTGGGGGGAAATATGTTTTGAGGTAAAGTTGTTAATTGTGGTGCCTTAATTAAAACTAGCAAAGGTTTAAGCTGCTGAAAAAATATTGCCTCTTAATGTTATAATCCTGATTAGTAAACCTTTACCGCGAGAGGAAAACAACAGAGCATCAGTCAAAGCATTTGATATAGGGAATGTTAAATATTTCACAAGATCTTTTTTCCCTTTAGGCCTAGAATTCTTCAAGGAAAGTATCATCTGATAATGCCCTATGTAGGTTAAAGATTTTTTCCCCCTTTTAATCAGAAGAAAGTTAAAACTGAATTGAGATGAACTGGAGCTGCTAATACAAAAGATGATAAAAATGGGGATAAAAGCTTCTAAGCCTAACACCGATCCTTATTTGCAAGGGAAATCTGGGCATGTGGAGGTCCCCTCTACCTGCTGCCTTTGCAAAATCTGCCTTAGAAGGATGACAGTGAATTTTTCCCCCATGAATTGGACTGATTTTCTACACATTCTTGTCAGTTTTCTCATTCTTTGATGGTTTAGTTTGCCAGACATAATGGTAACAGATGGTCTAAATCAACTTTGCTGTTTAGACTAGACCAGTCTCATTTTAGCTAACTTGTATAAACAGTTTTATGTAGCAGGTTGAGAGGCTTGTTTTTGTTTGCTTCTTACTGTATTTGCCTCTCTCAAGCATTTACCAACAGCAGTAGCAATTGTGATCTTTTAATTTCTTTCTGGGCAGTACCTTAGAAATCGGTCTTTTGCTTCTGTCAACTTCCATTTTTTGCTTCATGGTTCCTTAGTAAGAAGCTGAAACACTTGAGTTGGCAAATATTGAAAAAGCATATATATTTTTTTATTCTAAATGAAAACCTGGTCCTGTTTTTTGGTAAGTTACATACTAACAGCCATAAGCTAAACACTCAGGTAGTGCAATGGCAGAGGCAGAGGTTCTTTCTCCTTTTTTTAATCTGCTTTTCAGAATTTGTGCACATTCATCAGTGCAGCCAGTAAGCTGGCTCAACTGCGGTGTCTCTGGCAGACAAAAGATTCTGGACAAGTCAGCGCCTTGACCTGGAGTATGTCTGCATATACCTGTGCAAGTAAGCGATGGGCAGCTTGGTGCAAATCACTGAGTTTTCCTCTTTTAAAGCCGTACCTCCTGTTGCCTCATTTAGTAGGTCTTTACTCGGTCATAGTAGGTAAAAATCTTACCTAATGGAGTTTCCCTTAGTGCCAACTTCTGGGACTCAGATACAACACAAGCTCTTGAAATCAAGTTTTATCATTGACACCAATGACATTTTCACTTAGAAAACATGGAAATATTGCCAAGGGAACCTGATACAGTTGAAATAACTGAA